TCAGAATCAGACTCCCCTTCAGTCTCTGTGTCTTTCTCTGTGTCTGTCTTTCTCTCTCTGTGTCTCTCTGTCTCTGTCTCTCTGTCTGTCTATCCTGCTCACTGTCTCTCTCTGCTCTCACCTTACTCCTATTCCAGGGCCCACTGATTCCTTTTGTGTAGCTACATCTGTCTGCAGGCCTCCAGCTTATGACTTCTAATCTTCCCTTGACAGGAGGAAGTCTGCCTTGAGCACACTAATCCTGTCCTGTCCTTATCCAGTTCTGTCTCTCTGTGATACGCTGATAGGGACCAGCCCTCTTCACACACATCCTTACTTTACCCTGTGGTGTTTTCTCCTGGCCCTAGATCGTGGGGATCATTACACGACACAACCTGACGTATGAGTTCCTGCAGGCCCGGCTGCGGCAGCATTACCAGACCCTCTGACAGTTGAGCCCGGCCACCGCCAGCCCACTCTTCCAGAGATGCCTCTGCAGGTGGCTTGCTCACTCGCTGGCCCCCACAGCCAGCACGAAGGCTCCCAGTCACCCACTTGCTCAGATGCCTGGAGTCCTGGAAGACTGGAGTCAGAGGTTTTGGGGATGTGTTGAGCAGGAAGTTGGGGTTGTACTAACTTCCTCAGCAAGAATCTTCCATTTCTCATTTCCCAGACTCCCCTAGACAGACATCAGGGTGAAGTCAGGCTGGATCCTTGGTGGACACTTGGTACCTCTCTGTTGCTGCTTCCCAGAGAGCCTAGCTGTTACCCAGACAAGACCCTTCTGGGAAGGGCTTGGGCTGAGGCAAACGTTGGGGATGTTATTTGCATATCATGTTCATCACTAAGTTCAGGAATTGGGCATTGAGAACTGTTGCTCATGTTTGGGGAGGCCTGGGATCAAAACCAAGAGCTTAGATCCACTAGAGCTGTCTGCCTCTTCATTGGCCCATTTTCTTCTCGTTCTGTTTGCTAGGAGTGAGCACATGCCCTCAACCCTGTGGCTTGAATCTCCTTAGAATCATTCTGACCAGGCCCTTGAAGCACTGAAACCCCAGTTAACAGCCTTTGAGCCACTAACTCCATCATGGGGGACCACACCTTCTCCCTTCACTGTGAGCGTTCAGGAGCCCCCACTCACTAGTCAGGCCTGCTCTCCCAGCAACACGCGCTCTTCCTATTCTCAGTTCCTTCCTCCCCACAACTGCTCGACTTTCTAAGCCTTTATCTGTCTTTCTGGTGGGGTAGCCACAGCTTCATCTTGGAAGTTAACTTTGGCATTCCCAAAGTTAACCAAAACTGAGGGACCCCTAGACAGAACCACTACCCAGAGCCCTAGCAAATTCGGGACCACTGAACAAGCTGGCAGACAAGATGTCGTGAGCCCTGGCCAGTCAAAGGTACAACCGTGGGAGGAAGCCAGTGGCCGCTCTCTCGGTCGCTGCTCGCACCCTGCTTCCATGCAGCTCCCCACTCACCCTCTTACTGAGGACGTGGAGAGGAACCTGTGCAGCTGCTCGTCTCAGGCCTGGGGGTGGAGGGGGACTTTCTTGCCCTTGTGCCTCACTACATTTTAACTGGCTTCATTCTCTCTTGGTCCTCTGTGAATTAGCTCCTCAGTGAACATCTAGATAGAGACACTTGCACTCATCTATCTCCCTGCAGCCTAGGGCCCCTGCGGTAGCTGTCCTTTGGGTACCGGGTGACATTCATTTGCATTAAATGCTTTTTAAATCATTTTTAAAAATGAAGTTGCTGCTGGGCATCTGTGCCAGGGCCTGACTTCTAGGAGGGAGGCTCCCAGGTCTGGCAGAGTCACCTACTCAGCACTTGGGAAATTCTTCCACAGCCTCTGTTGGGGGCTACCTTAGATCTTTGCAGCTGACAGCAACTCTGGCCCTCTGTTTCCTCCATTTGCTTATCTTTTTATCAGAATGAGCTTAACTTACTGTTTTCAGCTTCTGAAAGGTGGGCATGAGGTTGCAACTCCCAACAAGTACTTAGGAAAACAGTTCAGCAGGACTGTGTTTGGCCAGCCGATGGCTTCATTTTATGGCTGACTCCAGTGCCTGCCCTGCTGTATGCTCCATCAAGAAGGAAACCGGTTGCCCACACCAAGAGCAAAGCATGACACCACAGAATCGCCTTCCTAGCCTGGTGGGTTCTCGGAATAGCAGCCTGCAGAGGACCTCAGTCCACAGCTTCCAGCCTCACAGCCAGCCTTGGTGACCTGTGGCGTGTGTCCATCCTGTGTGTGTATTTGAGTCATCATCAGTTTAGCCCAGAATAGACAGGGTCCACATATTTCTAGGACACTCAGTTTCCTGTTTCTCTCCCCCCATTCCCCTGAACCTGCCTTTCCGGAAAAGCCCAAAGACAACCGCGTTTCCACTTGTGAACTATGACTGGAAGCCTTGGACCCCTCCTCCCATGGCCATCCCGTGGAACCAGTGGCTCAGTCTCTCACCTGCCACAGCACCTTGTCAAACACAGCTCCATGGAGGGACAGTGAGGTTGGCTTGAGGCAGTTTTCCTGGCTTCTGCACTTGGTCGTTTGTGTGTCTCCCTGGTACTGCTGTGGGAGTTTGGCATTTTATCAGATGGCTGCCTGTGACCTTGTTCAGCAGTTCCAGCTGGAACGGACATTAGCTTGACTCAGCCAGCCGTGTGACAGTTTGATGCAGACCTTGGTGAAAAGAAAGCTTCTGGAAAGGCCAGCACAGCCCTCCCGGGCCCAGCAGTGTTGATATGTGGTGTTGCCCTCAGCTCCCGTGGACCTCAGTGATTCTCCAGCTGCAGCTTCCGCCTTTCCATTTGCATTCTTTGTTTATATGGTAACAGAAGCTGATCCCAGTGTGTAGATAAATGTTATCTTTTTTAATTTGTAAAGGTCTATTTTTATTTGGCCCTTTGGAAGGTGGAAGGAAGTTCTTGTAACTCTTAAAAAGTCAAAATAAAATGTCTTCACCTTCTCTGTAGACCTTGTCTCTACGGTGCTTTCTTTCCAGGTTTACATTTCTTTCCCTCTTTCAAGTAAGGAAAAGTAAAAGGGCTAGAAGGCAGTCAGTCTGTTTCTGAGACAGGGTCTTATGTAACCCAGGCTAGCCTCAGACTCACTGTAACCAAGGACAGGTCCGAGCTGTCCTGCCTCTACCTTCCAAGTGCTGGGATTCTGGGCATGTGCCATCAAGCCCAGCCAGAAAAGGCAGTCCACTGGCCCCGCATCTCCCTGTCGCTGCCTGCCCCCATACCTGTCTGTCGACTGTCTTAGAAGCTTACGTGGCACTTGTTACCTTGTACTGGTCCACTTGGTCTGTTGATTTTATTCTTCCTGCCAGCTGTATCAGGGCGGCAGTGAGCGGTCTGCCTGGATTGTCCGCTGCCTGTGTGGGGCCTTACCCCACAGACAGGAGCCTGACAGCACAGAAGAGAGGAAGCCGGCCCCTGCAGCTCTCGGTGTGTGTGTGTGTGTGTGTGTGCACTTCTGCCTGCCTGCCCATCTGCCTGCTTTTTATTTTACAAGGAATACCACTTGCTGTGTCCATCGCCATGCTGCCGTGTCACCATCCTCCCAGGTACTAGAGGCACTTCATTGTCCCTTCCACTCAGGGACAACCCTTTGTTTCCACTTCCCCCATTAGCAATTAGAACTCTGAGTGCAGGTCTAATGCTTGCCCCTCACACTGGTCCTTGTAAGTCATTCTCTGACTGGTTAACTGCACCTTCTGGTTTGAATCCAGATAGGGAATGGGGTTTTTTGGTGGTGTGTGTGTGTGTGTGTGTGTGTGTGTGTGTGTGTGTGTTTTAATTGAGTCAAGGTCTCACTGCATAGCTCTGGCTGTCCTGGAACATGCTGTGTAGACCAGGCTGGCCTTGAACTCACAGAGATCTGTCTACCCCCGTCTCCCGCCTAGAAAGGAGCATTGATTGGACCTGTTAGAAGTTCTTTCACCTCCAGCCCATCACTGTTTGCTTCTGGTCTTGCTTCCCCTCCCCAGGTGCACAGCCTACTATTTGGTTTCTTCTCCCCATTTCTGTACAGCATGTCCAGTCCAGGTTAGGGGCACAAGCACACAGCCACACACACAGCAGACCTTGTCCTGTGGGGGTCTAAGATGAAAAAGCAGTGTTCACTATCAGCCTTGAATATGTAGGGTGTCGCGAGCACCAGATATGGCATCCCAGGTTGGAGGCCAGCAGAAGTGAGCGCAGCAGGGCGAGTGTGCAGGCACAGAGGGTGTTGGTGTGAGAATCTGAGGCAGGGGCTGCTGCACAGGGCAACAGGCAAGAAAACAGAGTCCCTCCTTTAATTCAAGGTCAGCCAAAGCTACACACCGAGACCAAAATTTAATAAACTGCTGCATGTTTCCTGGTGGCCCTCTTCAGGCATGTACAAGCCCACACTCCGCAGTCCTGGGTTAGGGAGACAATGGCTGTTTTTCAAATGCCTTTGGCTCCCTGAGTTTGAGCTCCAGCACTGACTGATGGGCACAGAAAGACAGGTAGTGACGCAGTGTGGTAGTTCACAAAGCACTTGAACTTGCTGCTCATCAGCCTAGGAACCTTCCTTCACTTCCCCCTGCTGGGCTACCCACCCTGTGCTCACTCTTGTCCAAGCTGAAAGTGTAAATCACATGGCTGCTGAAGCTTGGCTCTCAGTAACAAGATCTGGACAGTCCCAGGTTCTCTGGAGGCTTCTTAAAACCACCCAGACTGTAACCAGGAAGTGTGAAACGGGATGCAAGAAACGGTCTGCTGAGCACAAGTGTCATTCATTCATTACCTGTCCTCAGGAAAAGGCGTGTTTGTGTTTCCTTTACATGAATTAAGAATAAGTGCCCTTACGGGCTAGGTGGACTTTTCTGGTCCTGTGACCGAGGCTGGAGTGAGCGGCAGGTCTCTGTGGGGACTATGGCCAGAGCTCCTCCAACCCCAACTCAACAAGAAGAAGGAGAGAGGGAGAAATGACAGGGAAGATAAGATGCAAGTGAAAGCAGCACACAGACCTCAGCTTCTGTCCTTGGTGCTGAAGTTTATTCAAAACCTTTTTCTAGCTGGGGTGAGGATCTACCGTAATATGCAGGGTGGGAGAGGCAACGCCTCACTCGGACCACTCATCTACATGAAGACAGGGAGCCGCAGCTCCCGTGGGGCGTTCGCCACACCTCAGTGGCAATGAAAGACCAAGCTGGGTGACGCACCGCAGGAGCTTAGGATCTGCTGCCATCTGCTCCAGCGGATTTGGCTGCCTTGTTCTCCCTGGCTGTTATCTTCGGTACTACAAAGAGAAAAAAATATATTGGTCTGAGGATCTGGCTTTACTGTGCTAAACTGTTCAACTTGGCCAGTGACCAGCTCTTTCCCGCCAGCCACAGAACAGCCTCTTGGATAAACCGGCAAACGAGTCATTCATAAGCATTAATGTGGGCACTCTTGGTCCATTTCATTTAAATCTGTCAGACTCTTACAGCTGTGGAAACAACACTAGCTGCCTGTCAGCAATGCAAAGGTGACATGGCCCTGTATTCTAATTTCCCCGTGCTGTGCTGGTGGCTCAGATGCTGGAGCAGCTGTTGGCATAGTCTTGAAACTTACAGAACATCCATCATAGCAGGGCAGAACTCAGAAGAAATAGATACATGCACTGCTCTCTCTGCTGCCAAAGATGCTCCCGTGGCAGGGTCTGAGCCTTAAGAAGATCATTGTTTGCTCCCCCAGCCCCACCTCCATCCCATTTCCATCCACAGTTCCTCTTACCCGGAAGCTGTTGCAGCCTAGGCCACTCTGGGACCCAATCCTGTCGATCCTACCCCCGAAGCAGCTGGACCTCCGTAGGCTCCGAGGAGCAGTGAGCAGAGCCCTCAGTTTGCTTTTCAAGAGGGCAGATCTATCGGAGGGGTCCCAGGGGCCACGCCCGAGGGCACTGCCATCTCTCTGAGCTGGGTTGGCCTCCCCAGTCCAGGGAGGTACCTCAGGGAGGGAGCTAAGCGCCGTTCCTGCTTCGTCGTTCTGCTCACTCAGGGCCTGTGGGGCTAGGACCTCATCTTCTAACGGGGTCTTCTCCTCCAGGCGGTCCAGCAGGTTCTTTATAAAGGGAAAATAAACACAAGGAAAGGGGGACATCTCAGAGGGACGGACCCAGTACCAAAGAGGCCCCGAGCCCAGTCAGCGTGCCATTTCCTGGCCCTACCTTGAAATCCATCAGGCCGGCACTGGACAGTGCACCATACCCGGGGTTTGCTCCAATATAGCCCGGAAGCCACAGGGCCAGGAAGAGGAAGAAGCCCATGGTGATGGAGAAGGAGCCCATGCTGTCGGCACACAAGCTGATGTTTGCTGCCTCTGCTCACTCCTCTCTGGTTTCTCTCTGTCTGCCTTTGTCCGTCACTGTCTCCCAGATGTCCAGTGTCTCCTGTTTTTATAGCCCCCCAGCCCTCTGAGAACGCAGGAGGGCTGGAACCCTCCCCATTCTATCACTTGCAGTGATAAAGCGATGGAGTGAGGAGCCAGCAGAAGATGCCCTTTTAAAGTTATCAGTTCAGCAAAGCTTGTCACAGCCCCTTCTCCTTGAGCAGCTCCAGTAACCTCCCACCCCAGGTCCTCCGCTGCAGGAGCCACATTCTTGCTGATTTGCCTCAAGAGGCCCCCACTTCAAAGGTGTGAGAAGAGCAGAAAGGAGTCCTTGGTTATCTTCCTGGGCTCTCGCCTCAGGATTCTTTCTCCCTGGCAACGGGACCCATGCAGGGAAGCAGAGGCTGACGTCTGGCTTGCACCCAGCTCCCCCTGCTTGCAGCTCAGCTGTCAGGGGCTCCAAATAAGGGTGGCAGAGGAGGAAATGACAGGCAGTTGGGAGGCCAGCTAGGCTGGCCAGGGAGTACACATGCTGGAGCTAGCTTCACACCTGATTCATCAGCCTCGTGGATGAACCTCTGGCCCCAGACAGCCCACCCCACCCCTAGATGTCCCTGTTTGCAGTCAGGTGAAAGTATTATTGTTATTATTATTTTTAGAGTATGAAGTCAGCCGGAAAGCCAACATGATACAGGCCCTAAAGAATCCAGCTACATGTGTAAACACCAAGGGAAGTTAGAAGAGCATGTTTCCTCTGAAGCTTATTTTTACTGTCTCCCGGAACTGTGTCCAAGGTGCTGAGGGGACAGGCTTGGAGGATGCAACCACTTTTCTCTCTTGGCCTTGCTGCTTTCGGAAGCTCAGACTCTGAGTGTGAAGCGTGTGGTGGTCCTACATTTCCTAGAGAAATAAAGCGAGAAGAGAAGGGATTGGAGCGGGCCTACACAATTCTGTGTAATGTCCTTCATGATTTCTGAGGCCAAGGACGTGAGCCATGAAGGCCTCTATTCCTCCAGCCTCCTCGGGAGTATAAGCAGGCAGTCTGCCTTTAACGAGTGGACTGCACATCTCAGTGTCACCATACTCAACACAGTGTGCTTTGTGTGTCTCACAGGTATGTCTGTTTTCTGCCGCTCTCTTCTTTCTGATGCTCTACAGCCTACGGCAGAGTTCCGTAGCCATGTTTTGGCCCGTTCCCAGCATTCATGTATTGGATAGCCCTTTTCAGGAAAGCTAGTTCCATCTTCAGCTGATCCTGTGGCTGCCTGGTGATGTTGTCACGTGGCCACAATGGCTGGAGGTCACAAGAGGGGTCTGTGGTGATGTTTTCTAAGACAGAAGAAAAAAAGAACCCCTTGAGGAAGCTGGGAGTTGGGAGTAGTCAATTTGGGTTGGCCAAACTGAAATCTGAAATCAGTGCAAGTCTAAGTAGGAGCTGTGGGTCCAAACTCTGTCACCTCTGGATGAGTCCCTGGGATTTGCTCAGTGCTTAATTGCGTGGCTGTGAATTATTATTAGCAAAGAGGACTCAGCGAGCAGTCCTACTGGGGCAACTCAGGCTCCTTGCTGTGTGCGTCACGCGGCCTCTCTCCTGGAGATGGCTTTTGAGTCAGGCAAAGACTTGAGGAAAGACTGTGGCAGTTGGCCTCGAGGACCGCTGCTGCTTTCTGTCCTGAACCACATCTGAAGTCCATAGGTGGCCTGGGAGAGCTGAAGTCTTGGCCAGGGCTCCAGGGAGGCAATTCCAAGGTTCTCCCATCTTCTTTGGTTGAAGTCACAGTTCCCAGAGCGGAACTGGAGGGGACATGGGTGTCATCCACTGCGACTCTGTGATCTCAGGGATTCATTGAGGGGTGATGCTCTTGAGAGCTCCCCGTACCTTAATGCTACCGTATTCAAACACTGTGTATGCTTTGTGTCTGGCCAGCGCAGAGCCCATCCTCTGCTCAGCCCAGTCCTTAAGAAGCCTTGATTTGATCCCCAAATTGAAGGCAACCCAATGTGACGGGTGTTTTTTTCTCCCTATCTCTGGCCCTGCTCTGCTTCAGGGTACAGAGGCATGACTGTTTCTTGGGGTATCCAGAAACCAGCCAGCCTTAGCTTTAGGAATGATAAAAAGAAAAGCAGTAGGTGAGCTGGGGGTATGTTTGGTCTCCCAAGCATGAGGATCTGAGGCTGAATCCTTAGCACCATTCACAGAGCCAGGGACGGCTGCACACAGTGCTCAGAGATGGAGGCAGAGACACAGGGCGCTCTGGAACTTGCTGGCTGCCAACCTAGCCAAAAACAAACAAACAAACAAACAAACAAAAAAAACCTTCAGGTTCAGTGAGAGACCTTGCCTTATAGCAGGGGTTCCCAACCTTCTAAATGCTGTGACCCTTTAATACAGTTCCTCATGTTGGGGTGACCCTCAACCATAAAGTTATTTCCATTGCCACCTCATAACTGTACTTTTGATGCTGTTATGAATTGTACTGTAACTATCTGATATGCAGGGTGCCTGATATGTGACCCCTGTGAAAGGGTCATTCGAGCCAACCCTCAAAGGGGTCACAAGCCATAGGTTGAGAACCATTGCCATATGGGAATATGGCAAAGAGTGTTAGAGCAGGACACTCAATGCCCTCCTCTGCCTCCCTGGGCATGCTGTGCACACACATATACTCATACACCATATACACATACACATAACAACACGCACAGAAAGCCCCACCCTCTTGGACCCAAAGGCCCTCCACGTTCCTCTCAGCGAAGAAGTCGCCCCAGCCAGTGGTGGGTAGAACGGGCCTTGTAAATGGGAATCCAGGATCTGGAATTTGAGTCTGTTCAGTTTGTAGTCTGGGATTTGATTTCATGACTATTCCTGGGGACACTGTGTTGCCGCAGGAGGCTGGATGTCCCTGAAGCCACACATCCAAAAGGCTGGCATGGAAGCAGTATGACTCTCAGGCTGGCCAGGTGGGAGACTGTGGAATGTTTAGGAGTGGCTGTTTCTAACTCGGAATCAGTGTTTCTGCTGGGCCTTGTGGTGCAAATCTGTGATGCCAGTACTTTGAGGCTGAGCTAGAAGGATCAGGAGTTCAAGGCAGCCACCAGCTACGTATCAAGTTCAAGGCCAGCCCAGTCTATATGAGACCCTAGCTCCAAAATAGTAAGAACCAGGGAGGGAGAGAAATCTCAGACAGTGAAATGCCTACTTTGAAAGCCTGAGGACTTGGGTTTGAGTCCCCAGCACCTGCCTAAAAGCCAGATTCACTGAGAGACCTTGTATCAAAAAATAAAGGCCAGTGAGATGGTTCAACAGGTAAATGTGCTTGCCACGTAACCCTGGCAACATGAGTTTGATTCGTGGAAACAACATAAAGGAGGAAGGAGAGAACTGAATTCAAAAAGTTGTCCTCCAACCTCTACTCAAGCACTATGCGCGCACACACACACACACACACACACATATATATAATTATATATATCACAAAAATTTATTTTATTCGGGGGTTTTTGTTTTTGTTTTGAGACAGTCTCACTATATAGCCCCGGTTAGCCTGAAACTCACTATTTAGACCAGGATGGACTTGAACCCATAGAGATCTGCCTCCTTCTGTCTACCAACTACTGGGATTAAAGGTGTGCACCACCACCACCAGTGGGGTATGGCGGCACACGCCTTTAATCCCAGCACTCAGGAGGCAAAGGCAGGTGGATCTCTGTGAGTTCAAGGTCAGACTGGTCTACAGAGTTCCAAGACAGCCAGAGGTACATAGTGAGACACTGTCTTAAAAACACCGAAGGGGGGGGGGCGTGCACCACCATGCCAAGATGCAATAATTATGAAAAATAAATAAGATGGACAGTAATCAAGTCAACCTCTGGCCTCCATGTACACATGTACACACAGGAAGGAAGGAAAGAAGGAAGGAAGGAAGGAAGGAAGGAAGGAAGGAAGGAAGGGAGGGAGGGAGGGAGGGAGGGAGGGAGGGAGGGAGGGAGGGAGGAAGGAAGGGAGGAAGGAAGGGAGGAAGGAAGGAAGGAAGGAAGACAATAGTTTATATCTTTGTTGGAATATTCAGGTAACTGGACATTGCAGTGGGGACAGGTTCCCAAAGCAGGAGTTGACTTGGGTCAGCTTTGTAGTACTCTTCCATGAAGCAAGAATGAGGGGAAGGAAGTGTAGCGAGCCAGATCACATTGTTACGTAACAAGCTTGCCTTAAGGAGCTGGGTGTGCTCTGCGTAGCTGGGTGTCCCTGGCTTGTCTGCTGGGGGAAGGCCTCTTCTCAGGTCCTTGCTGTCCTCTGGTGGTAGCCTGGAGATGTTAGCTCCCTGTTCCCCAGGCCTCTTTGTACAGAAGCAAGGGGACCCCTTTAAGTCAAGCAAGAGAGAGAAAAGATGGGCGGGAGGAGTCCTGGAAGATACAACCCCTTCACCACCTCATCCAGAAGTGGCATCTGTCACCTTGGGCTGTATTGCCCTGGTGTCTCCAGGATCTAAGGGAAGGGGAGCTACAGCGAGGCCTGAATACCAGAGGGTGCAGGGTCCTGGGGAGGAGGACGGGGGCCACCTCAGGGATAAAGAAGGAAGGGTAAGTGCAGAAACATATGATCCAGCTGGCCACAGCCTTGAGAAACCTCCTTAGTGGCTGGGTAGACATGCTGTCATCTCCTGAGTCCACAGAGAGCTGCACCTTGGAGGAGTCCCCTGGGAGAGAATGGGAGGCCAGGGCTGCCTCAGTTTCCTCAGGCTGAGCCAGCAGAGCATCATAAAGCATGGGGCAGAAAACCTCAGAAACCTATTGCCTCTGTTCCCGGGGGCCAGGGACCTGAGATGAAGCTACTGTCTGGCCTTCGGCCCCTCGGGAACCTCCAAGAGAAACATGCTTCTGCCGGCCGCACACTGTCCTTGGCTCCTGGCAGTACTGTGCTAGCTCCTGACACTGCCACCTTCCCTCCGTGTCTTCTTCCTCTCACAAAGCCACCAGTCACACGTGCTGCGTGTGTGGGTGCGTGTGAGTGTTTGTGTGTGTAAGGGGGATAAGGTTTCATGTAGCCCAGGCTGGACTTTGCGCTCACAGTGTAGCTAAGGATAACCTTCAGCCCCTGAACACTTTACTCCCCTGCCTCCACCGCCCTAGTAGTAAGTCATAGGCTCTGGTCATTGTATTTGGTGTTGGGAATGGAACCCAAGGCTTCCTGCCTGGTAGGCAAGCAGTCTCCAGGCAGCTTTCCCAGCCAGAAACCAGTCATAGCACACTGGGACCCCGCCCTGTGCCACTAGTTACACCTATAGTGAGCTCATCGTCTAATATGGTCACATTCAGAGGCTCAGAGTATTAAGCTTTCCATGTGTCTTTGGGGGGGGGGAGGCATAATTAACCCCTAATGAGCACCATATTAACAGGGCCCTTTCCATCG